CTTCCAGAGGTTTAATCAAACACCGTCTCAAGATTCAGAGTCTAGTGGTGGGTCATGACATTAAGTATACAAACACTGGATGTAGCATTTCGTTTTCACTGCAGCTCGCCACAAAAACGCTAGGCTGCAGTTCTTCTTGTAATGCTGCTGCCCACAAAGGTAACGTGAATATTCTGGGGAAGCTGACACATCAGCACTGCTAATAGGACTGGACTGACAGCACACTACCACAAGAGCGCGGTTACTGAACACCTGCAGTGCCAGGATTAAGCAGCAATACCACTGCACTATTTGCAGGAGCGGTCTCACACCCCATCTGCATGGCCTGACTCTGCATCCATTCCCTTCCCCAGCACTGGGGCATAACTACTCCAAGAAGGAGAAAAAAATTGGAAAAAAGCAATCGTTTTCTTTGCCACCTTCCTCCTGCCCACCTGCAGTGCCTCAAGGAAACATAAGATCTGAGGTACAAGGACACTGGGCAGGGGAGGAGACTCTGTGGGTCCCAGGAGAATACAGGTGAAGATTTCCTTACCATCAGAATACAGAGAATTAAGAGATCGCCTGTATTTGGCTGTGCTCAAGCCTCCACCATGAAGTACCATGCCTCCAGCAAAATCACAGTGGTGATGGTGACTGTGAGGGTACACGGGGACAGAAGGATAGCGAGGCAAGAACTCCCTACCCAAACAATTCCTGCTCAGAACATAACAGCTCCCAGCAGTTTGTGGTTATGTCTGCTTTCAGATCTGAATATGCAGGAATAAATGTGATCTTCCATCATTACTGCAGCGTCCTATTTCACCAAGGAATTTCACTCACCACTGGAAGTTGTAAACTGTATACACTTTTCCAGCCAGCAGATCTTCCAACTGCTTTTGCAGCAAGAAAATTAGAGCTGCTGGAAGTACAAGTGTACTTGACCCCTCCTGAAGAACAGCTTATGCATACCTGCGGGCAGAGAGCTTACCAAGTGAAGAATGGCTGCCACAATTTTGTAGACAGTCTGAATCTCCTCTTGCTTGAAGCCTATCACTTTCATGGCATCGGCTACTGCTTTGAACTCTGCACCATCATTGATGGAACACTGATGGGAAAAAGATGTTTGGGACATGAAAGGCTTAATGGAAGTCAACTGTGAGAAAGCAAAGATTCTGCAAGCCCATGGGAAACAGATATGTATTTCACTATTTTTCAGATTTCTTAACTTATTCTAATGCCATATCATATAAAAGCCTTCTGAACCCGGCACTGGACACACATGTATACCAGCAGCAATGAGAGACAGAAATCCATCACAGCACGATTAAATAGTTCAGTACTTTCCCAGCAGAATTTATTGTGAAAGAGTAGAAGCAATTAATAAAAAAATATCTGAACAACAGTTACAAGTAGTGCAGTCACAGACCCTCTGAGCAGAAGCTGCAGAGCACCAGCAGTGAATTTCTGGTCACCATCTTTCTCAAGATGAGCCTCTGCCCCCTCCCCTCCCTTAGACTAGATATAAGGAAGAAGTTCTTTACAGTGAGGGTGGTGAAACACTGGAACGGGTTGCCCAGGGAGGTGGTGGAGGCCCCATCCCTGGAAACATTCAAGACCAGGTTGGACGGGGCTCTGAGCAACCTGATCTGGTTCAAACACATACCAAACATTAACAAAATAAAACAAAGTCTTGAAGTAGCCAGAAGAATTCTGAAACTGTGATTTTTTGCAGGGCTCCTTAAGACAGCTTTGCTTATTTATGAACAATTATTACCGTTTCCTTCTAACTTTATTTATAATGCACGCGTACGACTGTCATGACTGTGCCCATATATATCCAGCCACTCTAACTGCATGTGCAGCTCAGCCTCCTAATGGCGTGGGCATTTTCGAAAGCCAGAACCACAATGATCATTTATTAACTATGGCAAGAGCCCAACACATGTTCAGTTCAGATATTTAACACACTGACATTGCGTGTCAGTTTAGTAGAGGGGTAAGAAACTGAAGTGTTCAGAGGAACATGGTTTCATCCTTCTTAGGTGATAACTCCTGTGCACGAACTTCTCAGTTACAAGACTAATGAAAACAGCCGCTGTGGAAATACAGAGCAGGACCACCTTGGGCAAAAGAAAGGTGACTAGGACTGAAAAAATATGCAGGACTGACTGTCAATTCTTATTTTCTCCTGAGTAGCTTTGTACACTGAAGCAATACAATATATATAATCAAAACCCCCCTACTGTCTGCGTTCTCCACCTTCTTCCCCTTCTCAGGAACAAAATAGTCAGAGGTGTGCACAGAGAACCATAGATCCTGGATTAATTTGCTGCGTTAATTAATCTGCTGGAATAATTTGCTGCAGAATCAATTTGCAAAGTGCTGGCTGGCTACTAATGCAGATAATACTTTCAGAAAAGAGTTCCTACAAAAGCACAAGCCTGGTTTTGCCATAAACAAAGGGACAGATAGTTGCAAAAAAGATCAAATGCCCAATATAGGACACAGCCTCACAACTATATTCCACACTGCTCTCAAGTGAGAATTTTTTTTTTATTGCTGAAATTTTATTAAAAGGATTGCTAATTAGTTCTTTCAACTGTATCATTACTATTTCAAGGTCAGGCTGGACAGGGCTCTGAGCTACCTGGTCTAGTGGAAGGTGTCCCTGCTCACTGCAGGGGGGGTGGACTGGGTGACCTCTAAGGGTCCCTTCCAACCCAAAACATTCTATGATTCTATTATATGATTCTCCTGATGATCTGGGTTTGTTTTCACTGTAGATTTCTAGAGAGACTGATAAAGGCATCTGAGAAGGTCTGTGGGTTTATTTGCCAAAGAGCATCCAAGAAAGCAATTAGGAAATCAGGGAGCCTTTTGCCTGTACCCTGCTTAAGAGAGACAACACTAGGGACAACTCTTATGTTATCCCTCATATGTAAAATGTCCAGGATCTTGTCCTAAAAACTTTAGGGCTTTGTTTCCTTCTTTCCTGCTCAGAAGCCCCCTTGAGGATCAGTCAGATATGAAGAATGAATGCTTCAGTAACTTAAATGCTCCTACTGCCAAAAAAAAAAAAAAAAAAAAAAAAAGAGTCCTTATGGCCTTTTGGACCAGAAAGCAGCATAAGTTACGCATTATGAAGCAGGAAAAGTTTGTCACTGGTAACAAGTCAAATATCTATGCCTGCATTTATTAACAAAGGTGATGTCTCTCCTATTACATTTGATTGTTTTTTATAAGCAGACACACATAGTAGGCACAAGTACACACATGCTTGTCTTCTAGGGCCACAAACGCCGTTAAAAATAGCACATTGCTGTCACCTTTCCATATTCATCCCATAAATACTGGCCTCAGCTTCCGCTAGCTCAGCAGTACTTCAAGTATTTCAAGAAGCATTTACAATTTTAAGACAAGTTATCTCTAACTCACTAACACCACCCTCACCTTTATCTGTGCTCCAGGACAGATGTAGTTGTATGCAGATGCATCCTTCTGAAGATGTAGAGAACGTAACATTTGGTCAGAACCCCCCTGGAGGAGCTGTACAAAGAGTATTTTAAAAAATGGTAAATGAAAGAAAATAAAATCCTTCCTTTTTCTGTTTCTTATCCATCTGCTTGACAAGCAAAATCATAAAAACTTTAAATTACTGCTACAGAAGAAAAAGCTACAGTATCTGGAGTCACAAGTGCACAGGTGCCAGATACATGCTCTGTATCATTGTAGGGCTCTGACCGCCAGAAAGGGGTTGCCTAAACAACTGTCCTTTTGAGTGACACAACTGTTTAGAAAACAAGCCTGAACCTCTTCACAGACTGGACATGTTTACAACTGTGACACGCCACAGATGTGTCTTGGCAAGCACATTTACCTTCGCTGCTACACACAGAGACTTTCCAATACGGAAATGACACATTCATGAGAATGGTGCTAACATGCCATCATGGAGTACTGTGCAAGCAGGGGGAAAAAAAAATAAAAATAAACAAACCTACATTTCCCTCACTGCAAAACTCAGAATAAAGGTTATACTAATAAGCCGACCATTTCCCCCAAAGGACGCACAAGGGAACCACCATACAACATGGAAGACATTAAAAAGAACCCAAAGAAAAAAATAAAGTCAACTTGGTGTCATAAAATTACTTCCATATGGACTAAAGGCCTCAAGAGAAAATAGAGGGATTAGACTTATTACAAATAAAACAGTGAGTCAAAGTCCAATATTCTACCACATTTGTTTAGTTAGCCTCCTTTTAAGTTTACAAATGTGTTAATATGGGACTGGAGGATAGAAAAAAATAAATCTTCCCATGCTCCTTCCCCAGATCAGGCCTCTTCAAAGAACTAAAGAACCTAAGATCACCCAAGATGCAACAACAAGGGAGCCCTTTGCAAAATACACGAGAGGGTGAAAACTTTAAATATTTTGCCTATCGTGTCTGGAAACTTGAGGACAGTAATTTGTTTCAACAAACGAGTACAAACCTGGTAAAAAGAATGAAAGCTTCGTTCTCCTGGCTGTTGCACAATCACACGAGACTGTGGGGAAACAAAACATGAAGATAGGTATTTCTGCACCTGGACGGCGTACTTCCCCAGCACCTCCCCTTAGACACCAATGCATCGGTTCACTGCTGCTAGGACACCTCCAAACTAATCTTATCTTACAGTAAGTCTGTTATGAACATTATTAGCTAGGCATGACCATGGAGTTTGAAGCCTATAATCAAAAAGACCAGCTTGCATAACAGCTGCAATGTTCTACTTCCAGCCAGGAATCCCATGTGGCAACTACAGAATTGCTTTCATGGAAGAGTCAAATAAAACATCATTTTAGTTTGAGTTATTTAATTGTTGGGAATGAAAAACAGGACTCTGTGACTACAAACAAATGCTCCATGGTCCATAGTTAGGGCTTACAGTAACCAGTTCTACAACCCCAGGACAGGCTGACCAACAACACCCAGCCACTGTACAGGTGAACGCTCTGCTCTCACACAAGGACACTGGTTTAGGGTGCAGGAGACAGGTCCATCTTCAGAGCACTCATGCCAAATCAGTATAAAACAGCACCAAAAAAAAAAAGTTAAATGCAGCAGAAATTCAGTCACCGAGCAAGGTATCCTTGGTTTATGCTACAAGTTTGAACTACGGAGAGTGACAGCGTGTGTTCCTGCCACAGCGCAAAGTCACTGTCTGTTAGCTGCTTCTGCTCAGGCCAGAACCTCAACTGCTTTCAAAATGGAAACAAATTTAACTTGGCAGAAGTCTTATGAAATAAATCACCAGGACTGAAGTCACTGCGGCTGCAGCCCCACCCCCTTTTTGCATGGAAGTATCACATGTTAAATGCTTGGGTTTGTTGTTTTACTTTTTAAAATAAAGTGACTATTCTGAAAATAGACTTCAGGGAAATAATGAGAAAAGTAAAAAGCACACACACAAAAGCATGTTAGCAGATGTGGTCAAACATGTAAATTAAAGCCAGACATGTGTCTTGCACACAACAAGAACTGTTAATAGATCAAGCCCAGTTTCTCTACAGAGTTTTACATATTCCAATGTTTTCAGCCACCACTTAATGACATGAAAAAAAAAAAAAAGAATTATGCTTAGGATCACTTGGAATATATAAACCCAAAGCCACTAAAAGATCACACAAGGCTGTGGCATTATTCCAGAATAACACTGCTCAAGCATACTGTTGCTACTTACAGACCTAGGTATCTTCTCCTTTTATTCACCAGTGAGATCTCGGTGCGGGAACTTATAAAGAAGGAATTTTGCAGATGTTAAACTAACCTCAGCTTTTATTCTGGATACAAAGTGCATACACCTATACGCTCATGAGCTTTTGAGTTAACATGAGTCCCTTAAGTGGTGGGCTCTGAAAGCAGTGGTGTTAAAGTAACAGGGCAGCGCTAGTGCTTCAGCAGCGTTTCAGTTATTTATGCTAACTCTTGAAGAAAAATTGAGCCCTAGATTTAACCAGATTCTATGCCCTCAGATGTCACCTGTTGACATACCATGTCTGAAAGAATCACAGAATATCAGGTTGGAAGGGACCTCAAGGATCATCTGCTCCAACCTTTCTAGGCAAGAGCACAGTCTAGACAAGACAGCCCAGCACCCTGTCCAGCTGAGTCTTGAAAGGGTCCAGTGTGGCAGAGTCAGCCCCTCCCCTGGGGAGATTATTCCAATGGGTGACTGCTCTCATGGTGGAAAATTTCCGTCTCATGTCCAATCGGAATCTTCTCAGGATTAACTTGTACCCATCACCACTCATCTTTTCCATGTGGCTCCTTGTGAAAAGGGAATCTCCATCTTCCTTGTAGCTACCCCTTAGGTACTCGTACGTGGTGATGAGATCCCTTCTGAGCCTCCTTTGCTCAAGGCTGAACAAACCCAGCCCCCTCAGCCCATCCTCATACAGCTAAGAGACACTTCCCAGCCCTTGGGTCATCTTGGTGGCCCTGCTCCGGACCCCCTCCAGCCTGTCCACATCTTTTTTGTAGAGTGGGGACCAGAACTGTACACAGGATTCCAGGTGTGGCTTGACCAGCGCTGAGCAGAGTGGGATGATGACTTCTTTATCCCTGCTGGTGATGCTCTTATTGATGCAAGCCAGCACTCTGTTGGCCTTCTTGGCTGCAACAGCACCCTGCTCACTCCTTTTGAGCTTGATGTCCACCAGGACCCCCAGGTTCCTTTCCACAGAGCTGCATTCCAGACAGGTGGATCCCAGTCTGTGCTGCACTCCTGGATTGTGTTTTTCCAGGTGCAAGACCTTACACTTGCCTGTGCTGAACTTCATAAGGTTCTTGCTAGCCCATTCTTCCAGCCTATCCAGATCTTCCAAGAAAACTTTCTAATGGCAAAGGACATACTACAAAAGTAACTACACAAAAGCCTCTAACTCTCAAAGCGAGCATGGCTTACCTTTTCTAGTAAGTAATTATTGATATGCCCACCTATTGGGTCTCCTTTAAAATCAAAGTTGATATCCATATATTTTCCAAACCTGCTGGAATTGTCATTACGGTTTGTTTTGGCATTGCCAAAGGCCTCTAACACGCAGTTGGATTTCAGCAATATGTTCTTCACTCTGGAGTGCAGATAAATGGAAAAGAGAACAGGGTAAGGCCAGACTTGTATACGCAAACCAGTGAAAATTTTCTTCACAAGCATTTTTCAAGAAGAATTTAGTAACAGCAGAAATGCTTTTTGATGACATATTTGGGCAGATGTGCATGACATTAGCAATCCCATTTCCCATGGGAAATCAGTTGGGAGCTCTCAGCAATGTTCCTTACAGCCGAGCAAATGGGAACTAAAGACCAGATCCCCCCACTGAAAACAGCATCAAAAATTCAGTTCCTTTACATACGTAAGTTTTGAAATCAATTTCTTGAACTCTTTTGCAAGTAAAAGAGTTGTCTTTGCTCAAAAACTTTTACTCTGTATGCCTGAAAGGTCATGGAATACGCTCCTTGCACCCAACATGCTATTCTAACGTACACATATTTCAGGCAATTTGCCACAGGAAACATGATTTCTAGATACTGTTTTTATTTTGAAATTTTGAAGGCTTGAGTTTTCCTAAGTTTTTTTTCTATGTGAATTGCAAAATTCCCAGAGTAAAAGTAGTACCTGAAGAAGTTAGGTAAATGCTGTAAAATCAGCAGGCAATTAGTCCAACATGGGTGCTATGCAGCCCAGAGAGAAAGATCCACAAACAAACCAATTTCACTTAATTTTCTGCAAAGCCCTTACCTTTCCACCTCTGCTCTCTGCCCGGGGTTGGTAATGGCTGCTATGTACTGCATAATATATTTACTGGCCTCAGTTTTCCCAGCCCCACTTTCACCTGAGGGCATAAATACAAAGATTACACAACAGACCAAAAAAAAAAAAAAAAAAAAGCAAAGCAACTCACTGAACAGTGTATCTTAATTCTACCCTGACAGTGTTTGGGGTTTTTGTTATTGTTTTTTTTAAAGCAATCTTATTTGTGTGCACTCCGAACATTTTCTAAATATAGCCATAACCCTGCCTGGTTGTTGCTGCTATGCTGACTTAGAAGCAGTTATGATGTAAGATTTCACAGGTCGGTAAAAAGCCTGGCACACAGAGGATCAAAAGGAATATTGTTAGACGAGAAAGACTGGCATGCAGAGGCTTAGCTAGCAGCAGTGCCGGGAACCGCAATAACAAGAGGCTACTGTTCAGCACAGCATCTCGGGTCTCTTGCTTTTCAGAGCTGCTGAAGCACGGGAACATCAAGGAAACAAAGTGCCAGGATCCAGATAGCGACCGTTCATGGTACAAGCCCTGCTCCCACTGTTAGAGCCATGACAAGCAACCAGTCCAGTCATCGAAATAGAGAACAAAACATTGGCCAGTCATCTAAGGGACAAAAATCGGCAGTTCTCTAAAGAGAGACAGGAACCCTGTTCTCGCTGATCGCCATTCACCCAGGCAGAGCAAGCAGAGGACTCGTGTTCAAGTTACCACTCTGCACACACAGATTAAGCTAATGACTGACATCAGCTCTTGAATTAGATAAGAAATAATTGTTAAGGTCTCCACAGATGGATTAAAATGCAAATAAGCAGTTTTAAGATTAATGAAGTTTTCTTTTATAAAATGCTGTCATTAGCCAAATCATTATTCTTCTCCTGCCTAGAATTTCACAAAGATCAAGTGTTCATCACAATGAAGAGCTCTTTCAGCTTACCTGATATTACAATACAGGTGTCTTTTGATCGCCTCTTCATCGCTTTGTAAGCAGCATCAGCAATTGCAAAGAGGTGAGGAGGCCTCTCGTACAATTCCCTTCCTTTGTACTGCTCAATCATGTCACGCCCATAGATGTTTAAGTTTTTGTAAGGATTCATGGAAACGACCACTTCTCCAATAAACGTATAAATCCGTCCTTTTTCAAACCTACCCGGAATGAGACAAAAGAGAGAAAGGGAATTAGTCAAACACAGAGATTCAGAATACATCTTCCAAGGAAGTTGCCTATTTCTTCAGGTGAACTCTTCAATCCATCATTATAATAATACATTGACTACAGACATTACCTGACCAGTGTGGCCTGGATGGCACGTTAGCATATTAGATAGAGACCTGCTGTTACAAGGACTAAGAACTAGGCCTAGCTTTGAAGTTTACCACCTACAAAGGAAATTTCTACCGCTAGTTCATGTACAGATACATGACTGATCAGGCTACCAAGGTACAAACACTGACTATATTTCTGAGCTTTTCTGAACTTTTGCTTTGCCGATGCAATCAAGCTGGCTTTCTGCCTATTCAGGTATTTCTGTTGCCATTAGCATCCTGCCAGAAAAAATGTTTCTAAGAAATTCTTTAGCAAGATTTGTTGATGTAAGTTACTGATTCTACAATGGACAATAACCAAACAGGAGTTTGTGATGAGCTTATGCAACCTGCTTCATAAAGAGGATATAAAGGCAAATTCTTTTTTCACATTCTGCAGTTGTCCATAGCCCAGCTCAAGCCAGAGAACCAGAAGTTTTGAAGCCACTCACTTAAGGTCTAATGACATTGGCAAGAAAGCAAACAAAGATACAAGCCAAGAAGCGACTTACAGCCTTTCAGCCTTAGCAATTAGTTTCCACTCCATCCTTTTTGCTAGAAGGCACTTTGATATCATCCCTGCTGCTAAATCAGAAGTGAAAGCTTTTTAAGAACATGTGAAAACAACCCTAAACTACACCTTTCCTAAACCCTACCTGGCCCTTAGTATTCTTTCTGCAAACAAGACAGAAAATAACCTGACGTTTTGTTAAAATTAAAAAAAAAGGAAGTGTTTAAGTTAAAAGATGTTTTCAAAGAAATTCAGTTTATTGAAAGTTATCTAGCAGAAAAGCACAGAAGGGAAACGGTCTGAAGTTGTGCCAGGGCAGGTTTAGGTTAGACATTAGGAAAAATCTCTTCCCCAAAAGGGCTGTCAGGCACTGGAAGGGGCTGCCCAGGGAAGGGGTCGAGTCCCCATCTCTGAAGGGATTTAAAAGCCAGGCAGATGAGGTGCTTAGGGCCAGGGTTTAGTGGTGGGATGGCAGGGTTAGGGGAACGGTTGGGCTTGATGATCTTAAAGGTCTTTTCCAACCTAAAGGATTCTGTGATTGTATGATTAACAGCTGAAGCATTCGTACAGCATTTTCTTCTCAGGAGGCGAAAGGACGACAGCAGATTTACAGATCAACACGCAGACTACGGCATTTCAACCATTAAATACCTGTCTGCACCCTGTATTTAAACCTTACAACATTAGATGGCACCATAGCCCCTCTATAGCGTTCAAGGGCCTTCCTAATCCTTGATGGGCTCCGGCACAAATTCTAGCATTACTTTATTGAATTTATTACCACCCCCATGTGGTGACAGGCTTGACATTTTCTATTGTTCATTTGAGAATTTTCTGCAGCATCTTGGCAGTGTTAGTTTTTAGCAGGTGTAATAAAACTCAAGAAATACAATCTAGCAACCAGCATTCCACTTTCTAAAAGCCATTTTGCCTCTAATTCCAGCTTCCTCCAGAAATATTTCACTAAAAAGACACCAGACTAACAAAACGGCTTTTTGTTCCTGCCTTCAGTTTAACTGAAGGTAGTCCTGATACGCCTTTCCCAAAACAACAGTGAGCTTAAAATGCAAAAATATTTTCTATTTTAGAGATATATGCTGTTTGAAAGCTACCAAAATGTTTTAGGAAATGTAAGGCCATTATACTTAGCAATACCAGGTACAGCTCAGCAGCTAACTGTTGCAACAAAAATGATGGATAACACACGGTCAACACCACTAAGCAACGCGCACATGAAGTACAGAATTGGTGTGAAATACAGAATTACAGCCCAATTTGTAACAAACCAGTTATTCACTGGGAAAACAGAAGATGGACTTAGGTACACAAGAAGCCTCGTGCACTCAGTCTTTGTTATTTACCATCCCTAATCTTAATTCTTTGAAGCACAAAGCAGCTAGGGATTGTGGTATTTGGAAGAAATTAAACATGCAAGACACCTGTGGGTGTAAAGAGATCACATACCCCCAGGCTGCTCACCTTCTGCCCTCTCAGGTGCACACAGGCAACTCTACATATCCATAGGAGAGCTTAAGAAAAAACCAAACACACACAACACTGTTTCTATTAAGGAGATCAAATCACACGGGGGCATACATATGTAATGGAAACCATTACAAGGACGTCAGAAACAGCAGAATCCTTCCCATCTTTTTGGAGCTGGGCCATCCAAAAAAGCAAGTTGCCCAATGGAGAACATATAGAACCACTCTCCAAAAGTCACGGCACAGCAGGCAATAACCACTGCTGAAGGCACTAGTCATGATAAAAATAAAGATACAGGTTCTGGAGGAAGTTTTAAGCCCCACCGTACTGCCAGATGCATGGCCAGAGAGTTCATGGTCAGCACAGAGAGGTTAAGGGGGTTTCTTTTAGCTGCTGAGAAGAAAGGAAAAAAAGAAAAAAAAAAAAAAAAAAAGATACCCCTACTGAAGGGTGGCGCCAAGCCACCATCACAGCACCCAATACCCTGACCTCTTCCTTAAGTAATGAATTATGTAAACTTTCAGTAGCAGAGCACAGTTTAAGTTTCCTCCCTTGACAGTTCAGTGTCCCCGACTGCCTCGTAAGCAGAAGCTACAGATTTGCCTCTGCCAGCCAGTCATTCGAAGCTCACCACTCCGGAGCAGCCCCCTTGACTAGGGCACAGCTCAGCTTTGGAGGCCTTAGGGCTGCAACACCAACACATACAGCAGTTTGATAAACTGCCTGCTTGCTTCCCCAACAGCTCCAGGCGATGACGACAGATCTCACATTTGGCCTTGAAGTCAAGTTTTAAAAGGTTTTACTAGACTCGGACAAGTTGTGCCTTCAATCTCTGTGGCAAAAGGCTCCAAAAGATGGAGACGAGGGAGAAGGATACATCTCCGGGCATCTCTGAAGCTTAGCTTTAAGGATATGGAGTTTATGAACACCTGACATCCCCGTTTACCGCTCCGTTAATTTTTCTTTATTTCTTAGCATCGGAGTTAAAATTCCAGAGCTGTGCTTAGATGTTCCTAAAAGGAGCTGTCGCTCCTCGCCCCTCCTCGCTGATAAAGCTTCTTTTCATCGGGCAGCGCAGCTCAGCACAGCAGCAGGCCAAGAACAGCAGTGGCTGTTTTCCTAGCTGCATTGCTTTGGTGTGAGATTCTTGGTTTTCCTTGCCCAAGAAGAACTCATGAAAACTTAAGAAAACAACCAGTGACGGCAATCCAAACTGGGAGGTATGAGCTGTGTTAAGTTCACTATTCTGCTGCAAGTCAAGGTCACAAAACCAGACAATGAAGCTATCCGGCACATTTTGGAAAGGCTCATCAATAGGGGCACGCACTCCGTCAAGGGAAAGCTCATCAGAGAGGATGGTGTAATCATTTCAGTACCAAGCATGTAACATGTAGGAGTGGATTTTTGTTATTAAAGGCAATCTACAGCACACTTGAGAAAAGGAACCCCTGTACCTACTCCTGGGGGTTGATACCCCCATGGTCAAACCTCGTTTTGTAGCTATCATGAAAATCACTTCATCTTGTGCTGCAACTTGGAGGAGAAAAGACTTCCCTGTAATGATGCTATTTGAATAATATCTGTATTGCTGTCTTCCGAGTTTTCCACTTAGCACTTTGGCATCTGAAATCTAGATCAGCAGCCAAAAAGAAAGTCACAGTACTTAATCCTTGTGCATTATTTTGAAGAACATCAGCTCTTTCATGAGAAGTTTTTATACTCATTTTTATTACCTTGTTAAAACATGGATTGACAGTGAGAAAATATAAAGCAGTATATATCATAGAATATAAATCCCTTAAAGGGATAGACATTACTGTCCAGAAAAGAAGACCGTCAGAGCTTTGTTTTGTAGTTTTTATTTAGGGAGCTGAAAAAGAAACCCATGCTGAAGTCCAGACATGCTATGTTCACATCCAATTGCCATTGGAAAATACACTGCAGAAATCAGAAAACCGAAGCAGAAATCTTCACCACCAGAGAGCACTCACATTTAGGATTTCTCCCACCTGACAAACACTCCAGTCAAAAATAAAACTGTACTTACCGAGGAAATGATGCAACTTCAAATGCACTCAATACAAATAAAGAAAAGAGTTAGTTGGCAAGACTTGGAACCCATACTCCAAAAAAACATCTGCAGAACACAGACCGTTAAACAAAGGCACCCTACCATGCAATCTCCACTCCAAATGCTGCAATTCTAATTATAAAGGGAATTTCTAATTAATCATTGACATGGTAACTCCTCTGTACCAAAAGATAAACAGAACAGAAACTTGCTGGGATCACAGAAGGCAGGCAGCACTCGGCAGGCTTACTGCTATTTCTAGAATTCAGCATACTTTCGGAGATAACCTGTGCCAGCTACCAGGGATCGTTCATAGCGAGATCCCAGGCTGGGTTTCGCCGGGGTGTGAAACGGCTCCTCAGAAACACACTTTGCCAGCCTTTCCCTCCATCTGTCCAATATCTGAGGAGCAGAGCAACTGCTGGAAAAATCCTGTCAAGTCACAAGTTGTCTCACTTTAAGAGAGCTGAAGCGTAGCTATTGATATTATGGATTATTTTCTTCCAGGGAAAGACCTTCTCTCATTTGGAACTACTCCTTTCCCACCACGGATCACAGATTGACATCATATTCTGCTTCACATATGTGCAGACACACTAAAGCTTTCCCCCGTTAGCAGGTGCTCCAGAAACCTCCTTGGTCTCACCCCTTCCTGCTCCCTGATCATACACAGATGCTCCACAAACAGAATGTCTTCATGACAAGAAGTCACAACACAGCCATCAACCGAAAACGGACTTTCAGTTTAACTCTACAGCAGTGGCTCAAAGTAAA